AAAAAAAAAAAAGAAAGTCTCTTAACTGAAATTAATCCAGGACATAGTTTAACTACCACATTTACCTCTCTCTTCTCTTGGATTCAATAAGAGAATAGTTCTCAGTTTTAATATAGTCAGAATTTTAGGACGATTAACTTGATATTTTGGTTCTTAGATAATTTTATTATCAAAATATTCAAAAAATGAGGTGAAACTAAATCAGTGCATTGACGTTAGCAGAATTAATTCACTCCTCTTCCCAGAGATTGGAGAATAGCTTTGAATTGAGCACAAAAGGATCTTCCCCCTATTTTGTTTTTGTTCTAATGTTTATTATTTTTGCAGTAAGCCTTTTGCACTCCTAGATTTTGTTCTAATGTTGAAAAACTGCCTGTTATGCTAGGCACAGTGGCTCACACCTGTAATCCTAGCACTTTGGGAGGCCGAGGCAAGAAGATTGCTTGAGCCCGGAGTTCAAGACCAGCCTGGGCAACAGAGAGAGCCCTTCTCTCTACAGAATTTTTTTTAAATTATCAGGACATGGTAGCACATGTCTGTGGTCCCAGCTACTCCAGAGGCTAAGGTGGGAGGATCCCTTAAGCCTGGGAGGTCAAGGCTGCAGTGAGTTGAGGTTGTGCCACTGCAGTCCAGCCTGGGAGACACTGCAAGACCCTGTCTCAAAAAAAGCCAACTGCCTGTTAGAGGCTCCAGGTGAAATAATCCTAATTTAGAAGGAAATGAATATGGAGAGGCCATCTGTCCTGGAAATCAGCCTGAACTCAGGAAAAATCAGTGTGACCCAGACTATCATGTTCCCTGTATTTCTTATGACCAGTATATCTAGTCCCAAACCCTGACCTGTACTTCCCATTGGAGCATAGAGAAGAGCCATGGGTGCAGGAATAGCAGGATTCCAAAGGAAAGAAACAGTGACTTGACTCCAGGAGAGGTGAGTGTTCACTGGAAAGAAACAGGAAGAAAGAAAAGAAAAATTCAGCCTGCCTTGGAATAAAAGCCTTTGGGATTCTATTTAGCAGTTTCTATTTTCTCTCTACTACTTTAAGACAACTCTTTTTCCCGCCTCTCTCTTTCTCCTTGGACAAGGTGGTATCTGCAATTTCTTTTCTTCTTACAGGTTTTGAGATCAGGAGAGAAAATGCAGATTCTTCAAAGCAGAAGAAATGTCTGACTCTACATCTATTGTTACTTCAGAGGAGAATAAAATTGAATCACCAATTTTACAAAAAAAAAGACTATAAACATCAGTAGAGAAACACCCCAGATTTAGCCAAACTTGTAGACGATCAGAACCTCTGTATAAGGAGAGAAACCTGAGAACAGAATGGGAAGGCAAACTCAGCTCTTA